TGATGAAGATAGTGATAAAGATGAATTCGATGATGAAGATAGTGATAAAGATGAATTCGATGATGAAGATAATCCAGAAACATTTGATGATCAAGATGAAATATTATCGAACAGTGATGACGAAGTGGAAGACGAAGGGAATGTTTTAACAAGTGATCTTTCTGATACAGAAAAAAAAATTCCAAGGTTGTCGTATATATGATAAAGTTAGTCCACAACAAATCAACAAATATTTTCGTATTCGTCTCGGATCATCATTGAAATATTTGCATAAGCAAACAGCATGCTGGCTACTAATGGATAGCAAACAGCGGTTATCGAGTGATCGATTAGTACGTGTAACGTCTGGAAAGTAATAATAAACTTTCTTGAAAAGATTTTTTTTTCTTGCTTCATTTGATACTTGTATATCCTGATAATTTTTTTCTTGTTTTATGGATACTTACCGAGTGGGCCAAAAGTAACAGGACAAATAATTTTTTCAATTTTTTTTCTTTATACATCGACAGTTACATCTCATATTTATACCACATATACTAGGTGATACTAATCAGAGATGTGGCATATAAGCAGCCTCTGGGTGTAGTAATTTGTTCCAAAGCATATAAATATATCTTTATTGCTCTTATGTGACCATATAAGAGATTCGATGTTTTTCGTGTTACATTCAATTTTCATATTTTTGTCGGCATATTCCAATCTGAGAAACAAATTCGATTCAATTTTATTTTTGTATTCTTTTAGTCTCAAGAAGTTCAAAATCTAACCGAATAGAATGTAACACAAAAAACATCGGATCTCTTATATAGTCATATAAGAGCCATTAAGACATATTTATATATTTTGAAGTAAATTACAACGGCCAGAGGCTGATCATATGGCATATCTCTGGCTAGTATCACCCAGTATATGTGGTATAAATATAAGATATAACTGTCGATATATAAAGAAAAAAATATCGAAAAAATGATTTGTCCTGTTACTTTTGGCTCACCCGGTATATATCATGATAATTTTTTTTTGTTCCATTTGACACTGATATATCTTGATAATTTTTTCTGAAATTTATTTTCATTCTTGTGTGTATATTGGAAGCAGTTTTTTCTATTATTGAAAATAAAATTGGATTTTTGTGCAGCATTTCCGTACCACTCGACTGAATTTTGATGTAAAAAGTGCTGAGTAGGTACTGTAGGTACTGTATAGGTACTATCGGTGGGGAGTAGGTGCTGAGTAGATGTTGTGGGTGCTGTAGGCGCTAAGTAGGTGCTGTAGGTGTTGAGTAGGTGCTGTAGGTGCTGTAGGTGTTGAGTAGGTGCTATAGGTGTTGAGTAGGTGCTGTAGGTGCTGTAGGTGCTGTATAGGTGCTGTAGGTGCTGAATAGGTGCTGTAGGTGCTGTAGGTGTTGAGCAGGTGCTATAGGTGCTGTAGGTGCTGTATAGGTGCTGTAGGTGCTGTGTAGGTGCTGTAGGTGCCGGCGGTTCCCAACCTGCACTTTCCCCCTTGTTCGGTTCTCACATGTACTATTGAAACTATAAATGAAAAACATTTTTTTTTCTTTGGTCACGACTTTTTGGTCACGCCGATGTCTAATTTTAAGATATAGAATAACGAACCGTAATTCGAGGTAATATCATTCATTTATCTTTGAAAACGTAAATTAATATCTCGACATGATATGTACTAATTGTCGTTAGAGATTAATATTAATATCTGTTCAAAAAATCTCAAGTTTCTCCTTTGGCAATAGGAATAATACCAAAATAATTGCAAGACAAAATTATATTATACCGTATCAATTGGATATAATGAAATGTTAAATTATGAATCTTAAAAAAAAAGCACAAGATTGCATCTAAACAATTGTTATTTTATAGAAAACAAGAAAGATTGTTCCTTTACAAATGCTACTTAAGAGAGCAATGTTTAGAGTGTTTCTCGAAGACTCGTGATTTTTCTGCGCGGCATTTGTGGTGGCCGGATTTAAGACTTCGACTATATCTCACTGGATAAACGGCAGTCTGTTAGCTTCGTACCCATAAAAATCTCTTATGGATGATGAGGTCAAGCTCTGTACTATAATAGAAAATATTTTGTAATTTGCGCATTTTAATTCTCAGTGAAAAAAAAATTTTCTAGTGTTTCTCAAACAACTAGTTCCTTAAATATTAGTAACTATCCACATTCAATCTCGAAATTCTGCTGCAATACTCTCTTGTTATCTCTATCAGTATAAAACATTCCTTTTAATATACCGTGAGTTTCGGAATAATCTAGATTTTTCAGGTGTTTTTCATAAATGATTGAGATGAGTTTTTATAATATCGAACCAACAAAAAAACAAAAAAGAACAGCAGTAATTCGAGGATGTGAGTATTGGTGTAGGTATGAGTGACACTCGAAAAGAGAAACAATCACACTTACACCTTCGCGTTTCACTATCATAATCGACTTCGATTCGAAATTTTTCTCGCCTGTTGCTATTCTGATCAGGCTTGCCGATTAGAGGGGGGATTTCCCCCCCTAAAATGCTAGGCTGTCTGCCAAAATTTGCAACACTGTCTGCGAAAAATATTTAATATTTTCTGGGAAATTTTCACTATTTTTGAAGGAATAGAAGCATTTTCTGCCAAAATTTTATCCCCCCCCCCACTCCTGAAAAC